TAGTAAGGACAGTTCACAGCATATCATAATGACTAAATCAACATACCAAACAGAAATTATTCATGCATGCATATATACAAAGTAAATCAGGAAATATCCAAAAATTATATAACCAAAATAAGAAACTAGAAACCAGTCAACATTTTACAAATAAATAAATAGACATTATTAAAAAGATTGTTTACCAAAAATGGTAAAATTTAAGGCGACGACAAAAAAAATTGTAGTTTGTTTTGTTGGTGTTGTGTGGTGCTAAGAAGCGAAAACAAACACACCACAAAAAAAAAATATTAAAAAGTCGCAAGAATAGTAGTCAGTCACCTACCTACAATTAAATTACTCTCAGGGCCCTAGCTTACCTGTAATGATAACTCAACTCATTTATTTTACATATTTTAACGTTTTAATTTTACTTGAAGCTTTTAATTTATGTTAATGTTAATATTTAACTTAAAACTTTTTAACTAATGTTAAGCCCTAGCCTACCTACAGTTGTTCAACTCATCTCAATCCCTAACTTACCTATGAATTAAATTAAGTCCGGTAAAGAAAATAGAAAGTTGAAGAGAAACATAACAACAACGACACCGAATGAATGGATGTTGTGTATGTGTGTGTTGTATTTATGTGTGTGCGTGTATGTAAATGTGCGCGCGCGTACCCTCCAAAAACTTCTTCACCCACTACGGACGAACCTCCATTGCACCAACCATCATCTGACACGCACCGAGGAAATGAATTTTACCGGATACTGAAAAACAAAATTGAAAGAAAATGTTAATTTTTTAAAATAAAAAACAAGCCATTGAAAAAAAATAAGAAGCAACTTATCTTACCATGAGATTACCATCATGAAACGTGCTGACTCCCACCACAACCCACCTCTGATCATTCTGTAGACAAATTTTTTTATTGGCTTAGTAGTAAATGAATGTTAAAACGAAAGAAAAAACGAATAAATGATTGAGCGAATGATTGAGTGATTGAATGAATTAATTAACCAATCTATGATTCAATGAATGAATAGAATGAGTCAATTAATGGATGAATGAAAGATTGTGTGACAAAATGAATGAATGAAAAAAATAAAAACAACGAAACTAAACCATACTTCAAAAATCGTCGTTGTTGTTTTCTTCGAGTTGTTATCGGAACGATCATCATGAGACCACCATCTGAAACGTGCTGACGCCCACCACTGCCCACCTCTCATCAGTCTGTAGACAAGTTATTTTTATTAGCTTAGTAGTAAATGAATGTTAGAATCTTAGAAGCAAAAAATTATAAAATGGAAATAATGGCAAATAAATAATATTTGAAAATAATAAAGAGAGTAAAATGTAAAAAAAACTTACCGTCGTCCATTCGACAAAGGCAAAATGATGAGTGCCTTCCGTTTCCTGCGTTGTTCTCCAAAACTGGTGCCAGTCCTCCTCGAGATTGTTGTTGAAACACAGCCCGTGTTGATGGAGAAAGAGAAAATTCTCACTTGAAAGCTTAGCGGTGCCCGCATCTTAAATTGCTTAATAAAAATAATCCTATTTACCTATTCAATTACCTTAACTAGTCTATAATAAATTGTTAATGGTACGATAGTCGAAAGTTCCCCTTCATTCTCCCTCCTTGCACAGAGGTTCACCGACAGCCAGGGCACCGGATAGTAAACCATTGCCGTGCGGATAGTAGACTACTGCCTTGCGGATAGTAAACCATTTGCCGTCCGGAAGCCGTGCGGGTAGTAGACTATGGCCATGCCGCATAGTAAATCATTACCGTGCAGATAGTAAACCATTGCCGTCCGGATAGTAAACCATTGCCGGTTCACCACTGGCCGCCAAGGCTTACCTCTGACAAGAGACTTCAAAATTCAGAGTCTATCGGCTATCGTACCCTCAACTTACCTATTCATTACAATTAAGCCCTAGCTTACCTAAAATTACAAAACTCAAGAGCCCAA